CGGAAGTATATGTGTACTGCAAGTATACGCGTCATGACGAGTATCCGGTGGTGGTTATTCTCTGCACCGCACCACGCGCTTAAATTCAAAGCTAATCAAATATGAAGAAAAAAAATGAGATGATGCAGGTATAGTAATCTACCATCCTTATGACTTTTTTATTTAATTCATGTATATAATATATAAACAATTATAATTAACAGTATAGGCGCTCAATAGCTGATTATGGATAGGCTTTCCATTCGACCACATTATAATTATATTCGTACCTTTCGGCAAGAAGAACAATTTTCTCGCATATTTGTTGTGCCATATAACGTTATAAATTTGCCACTTTTCCACTTGAAGTCTTTTCGAGTTGTTATAAAAATCCTGCAAATTCGCCAACAGCGTCATCGGTAAGTTCAGTAATATAAATAACACAGTGAAATATGTAACACTATATAAGCACTTATATAAATGTCGATGCAGTTCGTCATTATAAAGTCTATACTTCAATAAATTATTATAATTATTATCGTACGTGTACTTATTACACACAGATACACAATCGTACCTCAAGTCAATACACACACGTCGAAGACCGTTGACAGGTTAGGTCAGGTATGTGTATACCTATACCGCGGTATAGTACGACAACGATAATAATAATAATGTATCGTAATATTCGGTATACGCGCATGACGTGTATATTGTGGGCGCAGGCGGTGGTGTTCGGGCGCGGAATGGCAGGCGAAGGGTTTGGCCGCCGGAAAGCCAGTCCTCCCCTGCACACACTCCGATCGGGGCTGCGTCAACCACCCCGCGGAGCGGAAACGAGGGGCTCGGTGGACGAGAGGCGACGTGCCGCCGTCGCTCACCCAATGGCGCAGGTCCGGCGGCGGATTGGGGGGCGTGGCCCGCCGGCGGTCCGCCGCGTTCACGCCCGTCGTTTGGCGAACTACTACACTGGGATCCGCGGCAGAACCGTCTTCCGCAGGACGACGTCGTCGTATCCGCCAGTCGATCGCGCGCAACACGTCAGGCTGACGACGGATCCCGCACACGTCCGCATGATATCGATAATATTATTACGACGCGATATACGATAATGTTATTACTGCTGTATCGTTATCGGTGTCCACTTTTTGCGCTCGTTGTGTGTGAAACGATGTGGACATAAGAGACCGCCGTCGTACGCAATAATAATATTTCACTTGTACTAAACCGTTTGGAGTGAAATACGTTGCGCGGACAACGGTTATACACAAATATTGGTCGGTCAGAGTTCATAAATAAACTGCGGCCGGTGCATTTCGATCGTCAGACGTCACCGTCTGTCCCCAATACGCGGGCCGACTGCAGGTATCTACTATGATGATGTTGCAGAATCCGCTGTTCCAGGAGTACAACACTGCTCTGTCGCAGTTGCTCGAACTGCACCAACAGCAACACCGTTACAATCACCAACACCAGCAGCAGCAGCAGCAGCACCATCACCACCATCACCAACATCACCCCAATAACCGACAGCTGCAGCTGCACCGTGTAGCCGGGAACGGGTCGTCGGCAGCAGCAGCAGCAGCAGCAGCAGCAGCGGCCGCGGCCGCAGGAGTTTTTCAGAGTTACGCGGGCGGTGTGAGGACGGCCAGTCGGGACAGCGCCGAGTCGGACGTGCTGAGCTCGTCGTCGCCCAGGCCGTCCAAGCCGTTCACCATCGACGCGATACTCGGACTTCAAGCGGGCGCCGTCGTGGGCCAGTCGGCCGCCGCGACCGCCGCCGCGCTGCCGAACGACACGTCTTGCACGGTCGGCCCGGTTGCAGCGCTCGACTTTTCCACCGGTTCGGCGTCGGCTCACGGCAAAAAACACCGCGAAGGTAATATCATCATTTACGGTCAAAATAAAAATTGTTGTCGTTTACAGTTGCAACAAAAAAATTTGTATTGTTACGGAGACAAATTTTAATCAATCAATGATATCAGAGAATAGGTTTTTTTGTGCGCACATATACAGGGTGATTCTTTTATCAAACACCACTCAAAACCACCCAACTTTGGGAGGCTATATATCTTGTAAACGGATTAACGAAAAATGAAAATTTAAAC